TGTGAAATCCTTAATGAGTGTCAGATAAGTGGTGATTTTACCAATAAGTCCAACTTATTGGTAATCACCACTTTGACAACAACAAATGACGTATAAACAACAGCGCTGAACTCATCTTGGTCCAAAGTAGACGGCTTAATACGCGCTTTGCCTTGAATTTGTTAAGCAATATGTTCTGGATGCGAACAACTGTACCTTCTCGGTCTCACAGGATTCAAAAAACGGTGGGTTGCACATGCAGAAAGAAAATTGTAGATCAGGAAACTGTCGTGCTAGGTCCTGAAGGATCAGTTGCTGCAAGAAGCATTTATGCACGCATATCGGGAAAGACACCTTGATTAGTGATGGCGAGTGTTCACTGACATGAAGAACGCTGACAAGATGATTGAGTTTATTGCGGGTGACATTGCTATTCGCCGCCTTTGCTGCTGCCTCGTCAGCTTCGGTAGCTATGAACTTCCAGCCGGCCCAGCGAGCACCGAGTAAGGCATACACACAAGACGCACCAGTACCTGTACAATGAGTGCTGTTTCGATCAAAAAAGCTGCCTTCGAACAAAACACAGTTGAAAATGCATTGATCGCAATAACGGAGTTGAAGATAACCGATGCGAAGCAACGTAATAAAAAACCGACCAATATCTATTCCAATAATGTCCTTTTTGATTTGGTTGAGTTCTAGTAAGTCTTCCACAAAAAGTATATAGTTCAAGCGCTGAGGAACACGAGGAACCAAACAACCATGCGGTAGTTCAACCTGAGAAATGGTGTGAATCAAAGAAGAAAAGCTTGAGGCTTCTAACAATTACACCTCGAGATCAAAATCTCTTTTGAGCAAAGCTTTCGCCAATGAACGTACAGCCCCATCTTCTTGGAAATTCACGAATACCTAAAACAACTTGCTTACCTCTTTTATAAGTAAAGATAGCAGTAAATCAATGTAGAAAAAGGCACTTGTTGCACACAAAATTGAAGAAATACAGTAGCTTAAGCTCTCCTAAAGAATGGGTTAAAATATCGCACTCTTTAGTGCACATAAAATGGTAA